GTGGGGCCTTGAGAGGCTGATGAGGAATGTGTGTCTAGTGCTTTGGATGTTACAAAAAATCCCTGAGGTCAACAGGTGTACACGATGATATATGAATAAATACAATTGGAAATCTAAAAAAAATTAGGTAAACTTGTCCGGTGTCACATTGGAATTGTAACCATAGAAATAAAAATGACAACATTTGATCAAAATGATCAAAGTATTAAATTGATGGGACATTAAATCCCATTGTATTCTAGAATATTGTGGTGATAGAAGGTTAGTAAGAATACAAAAAATTGTAGAGTTCAGAAAAAACAAACAAAACAAAATTGTAATCAAATTTTAATTAAATTGGCTAATATTAGGCCGACTACTCTGTACTGTACATTGAGCCCTGAACCTTTGGTATGTGTGTACAAGACTTGAAAAATCTAATTAATTTGGTATGTATGTACCAAGATGACTAATTTTCATATGGTACAATATTATAGTGGAATGTAAGTAAGGTAAGTAAAATGTCAGCGTTATTGAATACAAATAGATTGGTATCTCAAGCATTGTTACCTAGTATGATTCACCATAAACATGCCAAAAAGATCTCCCAAGATCAGATCATAGTAAAGAATGCCAGAACTGTATTAAGAACGTGATGTATTTGATAGTATTTAACTATGTACAGTATTCAAGAAATTAATGTAGGGATATAGTTTGTTTGGATCAGATCATAGTAAACAATGTCAGAATGATCTAACTGTATTAAGAATGTGATGTATATCTGCCAAGAAATAACTGTAGGGATACATTTTGTTGGGATCTAATCTGTGTGTGTCTGTTTATTTCGTTAGGCATTGAAGTATGATCTGTAATGTGACTATACATCAACATTTGGTGTGGAGATCCTTTACTTGTCATTATTGAATTACGACTGGATACAAATCAATACAAATTATGTTATTTCAATAAATTACCATTGACGCTTAAAAGACATCTATCAATTCTGAGCTTTTGAACACATGTCGTTTGGAATGGGTTTTGTGTTATATAAACAAGATATTGGATTGATTGCTTGATTTTTGTATGTAATTTTAAATGAGTGTTTATATACTTGTATTGGAAGAACTACTAATGGCTAATAGCATTGACCAACACAAAACTCACTGCATAATTTAGGCTCCAGTTCCTATCATTTGTAAGATATTGTACTCTATGTTAGATTGGTATACCAACATTATGGTTGCTGGCAGAGTTTAAGGTCACAGAGGCTAGATAGGTGCTAACTGGTGCAAATAGGACCTAACTGGTTAGGTTTAGGGTTAAAACATTGGAAATCATAATATTATACATTGGTTAGATCTTTCGCAATACTGTGCTTAACCAATGATGGATTTTCCACATATAAGCAATATATGTTAGGCACCCCACGACGCAAACCCCACACTAAAAACAAAATATCTCCCAATATATCGATAATTATGCAACCATACTCATAAATATACAAGCCTTACCTTAGTTCCCCCCATTTGTCATCACTAAATAAAAGGTTATGTTGTATTTAATAAGTCATATATATTTAAAATACCCAAAAATATACTGCAATCATACATAACAATTCAGTGCCCAACCTAATTCAAAAGATGGAGATCTCAGCAAGTCAACAAAAATTATAGGGAACATACTACTAGTATTCTATTCTTGTTGATGGCATGATTTTGGGAGATATAAATTTTGCTTTGTCTGGAGCACCCTATTGCGGGTGCTTGTAGTTGTACATGAAATTTACAGTTAAATCAATTTCATTTCCAGATGCTTGTTGCACTGCTTTTCACAGATTTTTGACATGCAGGCAATATATTCACAGGGACTTACAATTCACAATTAAATACATTTCAGATCAACTTTATGTGCAATATATTTTGTAACACCATGCTTAAACATACATTATGCAAGAGCTAAATCTGCCTATTGCAAGTCTTTATTGTCCCCCGCCTTTCGAATGGATTTGTCCTTCTGTCTGTCTGTCCGTCTGTCTGTCCGTCCATCTGTCTGTCTGTCACACTTTTTGGGACACAATAACTCTCCTTCTAATTGACCTAGAATGTTCAAACTTGGTGTACATGTAGGTGTTTATTAGGTCAATGCCTTGGTGGATTTCGAAGATGAACATTTTCTGCTTAGGGTAAGTAGAGATAAGCAATTTGATTGGTTGATGCTTTGGGACATGATAACTTTATTTCCAAGTAAGGGAGAGTGATGAAACTTAGTGTATAGTTTCATTACATCAATACCTTGACTAAGTTCGATATAGAGCATGTTCTGCTCAGGGTAAGCAGAGCGATAAGCAATTTGATTGGCCGAGACTTTGGAACACAATAACTCTCCTTCTAATTGAGCTAGAATGTTCAAACTTGGTGTAGGTGTTTATGAGGTCAATGCATTGATAGAGTGCGAAGATGAACATTTTCTGCTTATGGTAAGTAGAGATGAGCAATTTGATTGGTTGATGCTTTGGGACATGATAACTTTAGTTCCAATTATGTGAGAGTGATGAAACTTGGTGTATAGTTGCATTACATCAATACCTTGACTAAGTTCGATAATGAGCATTTTCTGCTCAGGGTAAGCAGAGCGATAAGCAATTTGATTGGTTGAGACTTTGGAACACAATAACTCCCCTTCTAAGTTTGAACACAATAACTCTCCTTCTATTGAGGTAGAACGATTGTTCAAACTTCGTGTAGGCATTCATTAGGTAAATGCCTTGATGGAGTTCGAAGATGAATATTGTCTGCTTACGGTAAGCAGAGATAAGCAATCTGATTGGTAGAGGCTTTGGGGCATGATAACTTTGGTTATAATTAAGTGGGAGCGACTAAACTCTTGAGTATAGATTCATTATATCATTACCTTGACTAAGCTTGATGATGAGAATTTCATGCTTAGGCTAAGGATCAAGACTTTGGAACATAACTGTTCTGCTTTTAATTGAGGTAGAATGTTTAAAACTTGATGTAGATGTTCATTAGGTGAATGTCTTGACTGAGTTCAATGATTAAAATTTCGAGCTAAAGCTAAGCCATTTCATTGGTCGATGCTTTGGGACAAGATAACTTTGATTCTGTCTGATAGGGGGAGAGAGAGAGATGGAGTTTAACGTCCACTCGACACAAACTAGGTCATTTTGGGACTAACATGGTTCAATTTTATTTTAGGGGTCTTTAGCAGTGGGACTTGGGAGGAAACCGGAGGACCCAGAGAAAACCCACGAGGTTGGACAGGCGACCCTACTCCTTGTCACGTACAACCGGAGTGATGAAACTTAGTGTATAGTTGATAATCAGTTTGATTGCTCAATACTTTTGAAAAGAAAATAAATGTGCAATTAATTAATATGTGTCATCTATTTATTTTGGTATTTCAGGAGGGACATCAGCCTCACTGTTGGTTTGTTTATCTATTTTTGAATTATTATAGCAAGAATGGCCAACTCTTTATTAAACTCTTAACTAATGTATCTAATGTATTTCTAAATGTGCAGTATATTTACTGGTATTTGTAACTCACATGAGAGACATTGAGATTAGTTACTAGTTTGATTGATTTAATGTCCTACTCTTCTACACCTACCAGGCTAATGAAGACAGGCATACACCATACAGTGTACTATAAGGGAAATTTTGCCCGGACAGCAATTGAATTCAAACTGTCAAGGATAATTTTATATGCACACAGGACCTTGGTTTTTCTTGCCATCCAAATGACTAGACGCTGTCCCTTACCAGGTCCTCCAACCTTATCCTTGACACTGGGAAACCACTCAGGAAAATTCTGAGGAACTTTCTCAGTCAACACTGGTATAGGACTCAGGCCTCCAGCTTATAGCATGCCAGCGCCTTTCATACTAATCCACCACAGCTAGTTTGATGGATGTTTGATGTATACCTGATATCCCTGATATAAATATTATCCTTATTTCCTCACATTTCTTCCTGATTGATAAATTTGATTCCTTTGTTGAAAGTAAAAAAGAGAAAGCACATAAATAACAAACATTATAGTGCTTTTCAGTGTTTTGTTAGAAAGTCTAGTTTTACTGAGGATGGGGGTTTCCTCAAGTGAAATGAATGTATGTTTATACTGGCTTCTGGATTTGGTTTAGAATTAGAATCAACATTGAGAGAGATAAGATGTATGTCAACAGTATTACCCATCTCAGTATGCCCCTTTGTATATTGATTCTAATCACAGCAAACCAATAACTTTCTATTAACATTACTTGTTAGTATAGTCAAATCTACACACAGATCCAAAGATTGCTTTCCCACATCAAATCACGCCTCCTGTTACACATTGTGGATACCTTTTATTCACATTTAATAAAATAATCAATATGCAGACGGCATTTCCATACATGTCAGGATGGCTTTACCACATTTAGATTACTGTCGCCAGAAATCTGACCCAGAAATACGGATATTAAACTAGTGGCTCACGTTTAGTGTGTGGAATAATCTTATAATCTTTATACTCCGCATTTTTATTGTCACATGTCCATGGTACTGACTGTCTGATGTTTGTTGTGGAAGTTTTGGGTAGTGTTGGCTGTTTGAACAGTAATTAGTTACATTATATACTAGATGTTAGAGTATTGATTTTGTGTATGGATGGTGTTAAATATTCCATCAAGCCTAGCTGTCAATCCTCTCACACTACTCACAAATACAAGGTGATACACACCAGTACTTATAAAATTCATGAATTACTTGACTCTTTCATTACATTAGGGCTTCATAATTGGTCAGTCATTTGAGAGATTTCCTACTCGTCTAATTATTATATATTAGTGGAGATATTTCATCAGGATTGTTCAACCCTATAGCTATAGAAATACAGAATGATCAAGGGAATATAGAATATGACATTAGAACACAACAGGTGTGGGTTGCTTTTATAAAGAAATCATTATTTTAATCCTACATATAGTATTACATAATATTTCTATTTTTGTATATTTACAGACGTGGGTAAAATGGTAAGCGCACTAAATGGGAAAAGATGAAGAATGGGAAATAAGCTGTGTGCCCCATTATTAAAAAGAGGATATAGAAACGACACCAGCTACCCTTGGAATGTTCGCAAAGATTCTCATCTACTACGGTAAGTGGCATGTTTTATGAAAATGTGTTATAATGACAATGTTAATTAAGAGCACATCAAGTAGCCAAACAAAATTGTATGTACTTATAGCCATTGGTTACTATATACACTTTACCTTAAGTTCACACCAACCAGAGATTAGAATTAATTCAGCCATCTTCACTCAAAAGGCGCAAATATCAACCTCCGTTAAAACCGACTTTGACAAAAATCGAAAACACTCTTAATCCCCTCAAACGCCAGTGACGTCACAGTGACTGAATGCATATTAGTAATGTTAATTCGTTAATTACCATATACACAGCCAGGATGTGTTCTCATTTACGCCCGATTGATTCCTTAATGCCCTAATACAAAAATAAAAAAATATTAACTACGGATTAATGATTTGATATATGAAGTGAGTGAGACAAATTAGCAAAGCTTAAAAGAGTGATTCAAGCCAACAATACACCTACAATGATAGGCTTCCGATTAAAAAAACCAGGATGGATATGAAATTGTTATTGATGCTGCTAATATATGAACACCAATGAAGCCAATTTAAAAAATTAATTACATCAGCTTTTACGAAATAAATGAGTTTCAAGTAATAAACATATAGATTTAGTCCATATTATAAATGTTATTGGTCATTTCGAAAATGAAAGAAGAATATTTATAGTTATCCTGTAACTAATAGTACCGGTGGTTTTTATACCCCCACATTTTCATGGGCATATTATCGTCGTCCCTGTCTGATTGTCCGTTCGTTCAGATTTGTTTATGGACACTCTACAGGTCACAATTTTAATCAGCTTTGACAAATTTTGAAATGTAGGTTTATATCCCAGGGATCTCGGTTCTTTTCTATATTGGCATGTATCAGAATTGAACTTCATGGATTATGGCCACTGATTGTACGAAAAATTACGTTTTTAGCTTGTGGACACCCTTGATGTCACAGTTTTTATCCAGTTTTGATGAAACTCGAAATATATGTTTATAACCCACAGATCTTGGTTCCTGTCGATATTCAAGCATTTCAGACTGTAACTTTCTGGTTTATGGCCCCTGATTGTACAAAAAATTGCTTTTTTAACTTGTTCTCTGTTCATCCCTTACAAAATGTGGGTGTATCTTGTATGGCAACCGCTTGTTTGAATTCGGACAAGATTTGTCAAGACAAATGATTGCTATAACATTAACCCCATCATATGTTCTATTCGTATTTATCTCAAGCAATACACTCTTTTCGTAACAGCATATTAACATTTCCTCTAGCAGTGTTATAATTTAGAACAAATCAAAATTCGAATATTCCATTAACTTTCATAGGTTAGTAATCTATGTTTTGTTGATTATAACTTTCATAAGAATACTTCTGTTAATCTCACCAATTCATGAGAGAGAGAGAGAGAGAGAGAGAGAGAGAGAGAGAGAGAGAGTTTAATGTCCATTCAACACAAAATAGGTCATTTTGGGACTAACATATAGTTCAGTTATATTTCAATAATTCGCTTGCGTATAGGGGTCTTTAGCAGTGGGAGGAAACCGGAGGACCCGGAGAAAACTCACGAGGTTGGACAGGGACCCTACTCCTTGTCACATACAACCGGGGAACCAAAACCACATTGGTTGGCTCAATGACAGACCTTATGATACAATGCGTACGCGCGAACCATCCGACCACCCAATTAATTAGCCCCTTTAGTGGTCAGGAGATTAAGATTATGTAATCAAATTTAGTTTGTTGATCAGTTGCACATGTGTTCTATTATCTTCGTCACACGACTGAATTAAAATAAGGTTTTAACATTGCAGAAAGGACACAAGGTTTTTAAAACAAACTTTGCGAATTGAATTGCTATGCCATATTTGATTAACTCTGTAGTAACTTTGAATTTATGTGTTCAATAGACCAGGGGTGGATGGACATTTCGGCCAGTGGACATTTATGCCTTTGCTATGCCATATTTGATTAACTCTGTATTAACTTTGAATTTATGTGTTCAATAGACCAGGGGTGGATGGACATTTCGGCCAGTGGACATTTATGCCTTTGACATTTCGGTCAATTTTATAAAAACAATTTAGAAAACTTTTTACTTGTGAATTTTTGTGCGTGTACATGACATGACGGCTCTCTGGTTTCCATTTCTTGGCATTTTATATGGCCTGCAGATGACATCAGTCTTTATAAATTTGGCTTCTTTATGTGACTTGTGCCGTTTTGACCGTAACTCTTCACACCTTGCACCAATGTACCTTTGTATGAGGCCTCTATTCTTTTATAGTGCTTTTGGTACATCTTGCACACAGCGTGAATTACGTGTTTATTTTTAGAATCAAAAGTAAACTCGTAGTTTTCATTTAGTTCCTTACTCCATTTCATAACAGTTTCTTTAGATACAGTTTTAATTTTGCTTTCAGAAGCCATGTCAATGTTGGAAAAATTCTATTGATAACTGCACAAAGTATTATAATAAAGGAATATAGTTTATGTCCCCACAAACGAAAGTGAAAAAAAAGTGTCTGACAGTGACAGAATAGAATTGGAATGACCCAATTTAACCCCTTGATGCGAAACTAGGGAATCAAATTGCTGGAAAGGATAAAATGGAACCAAAAATGGAACAATTATTTTGTTTCAAGGTTGGCCTGCTAAAGCAGTTCGTTTAATTATTATTTAAGAGGGATTAAAGTAAATAATTAGGAAACAAATAAATTTTATTGTAACTGAAATTCAATGCATAAATACAAATGTAAATGGAGTTGCACCCTTATAATACAGATTCCTTTCGGTGCTCTACTATTTTTTTATTTTACAAAAAATGTACGTGAATCCTTGTAGATGCGCAGCGTAAGCTCTTGCGAGAATCTTTGTGCGAATTAGATTCGGAGATTCGCGTGAATTTTTAGTCCTGGTTTGGTGCATGGACGGTAACTACACAATGGCACCCAGTATTTTTATGCAGTTGTATGTCATCCAAGGTCATGTATCAGGAGTTTTTGTTCCATTATTGTATGTACTTTTACAAAGAAAGACCCAGACAACTTATGAATTAATGTTTTGTTTGTTAGAGGAGCATGGTTGTGATCCGTCAACTGTCATAAAAGACTTTAAACCATGGGTTCCACATCTGCTGTATATGTCGGTCAAGACCTAGGGGTATGAAAAATGACTGTAACTAGATCTGACCCATCGGTCATTTTGCACGCCGTAAAGGGAGACTTTTTTTCAAGACCCAATTTTCAAATCTGGCTACGATCGACCTCCACTATGTAGCTATCCAATTGTTCGGCCATTACAGAATAATGCACACGTATAGAAGCCATTTCATTTTGAAGTCCAATATATAATTTTTTGTGTACCCCATGCTGACAAAGTGGTATAGACACGTGAATTCACAATACCCTACTATGAGTAAAAAACATGAAATATGAAAATTTTGAAGTGGAAGCCCTTCTTTGAACGCTCTGTAGATCTTGCTCTTCATAAAGTGTATGGACCACAAGTACAGATTCAGTACTGTTTTTATCACCTTACTCAATCAACACATCCAGTCACTAGGACTTGCAAACATGTACAAAGATGACAACAAGTTCAGACTTTTTTTATGGACAACTTGATGCACTTGCAGTTGCATCAAGTTCAAGAAGGAATATAGTATATTAGGCAGACAATGCCAGAAGTCACAAAATCACTTGTTGACTACTTTGATCGAACCTATGTTTCTGGCCGCCAACAACAGCAACAAGAAGATCAAGAAAATGTACCAATCAGAATCCACCGCACGCCACCTTTATTCCCACCTGAAAAATGGAATATGCACAAAGTTACATTAGATGATCAGCCGCGCACTATCAACATTTCAGAAGGCTTGAACAACAAATTCTACTCGATAAGCAGCATCCTAGTGTATGGAAACTTATTGAGACCATTGAATTGGAATGTGAACGTGTTACAACTGTCTTGCTCCAAAATGAAAGAGGTGTCCATCCACCAAGAAAGTTTACATAGACCTTCAGAAGTGTCTCTGTAATCTTTGTGAAGACAGAACATCTGGTAACAAGACCTTGTCAGAATTCTTAAGAGGTGTAAGTTACAACATTTGTTGTCAACCAGACATTTAGACATTTGATAGTTATAGACTTGCTTGTGATTTATACAGTGCCGGACTGGGCCCACCTGTCCACCTGTCCGTGACAGGTGGGCCTAAGCTCATTAAAAAAAAGTGGGCCTAAGCCTAAAAAGAAAAAAGAGAAAGAAAAGAAAGAAAGGAGAGGGGGAGGAAAGAAAAGAAGGAAGGAAGAAGAGGACAGGACACAGCCTGTGTCCTGTCCTCTCCTTCCTTCTTTCCTAATGATAGTGCTCTTAGGTCATTCTGTTATCTAATTGTATCCGGAAATCAAACATTTGCCTTCTGCTTTGGTCTGAAATGCTTGGAAAATGGGTTTGTGGTTGTCAATTTTCAAAATTTTCCTGATGGGAGAATGAACGCCCCCCCCCCCCTGACACTCGCGCGCCTTCGGCGCGTACTTGTGTGGGCCTTGGTCAATGACCTAACAGGTGGGCCTTCGACCCACCAGTCCGGCACTGGATTTATAAGACTCTTTGCTTAAGAAAATTAAGAGATTGTGCAAAAATACAAGTTATCTAACTTCATCTTTAGTGCTTGAATGTTGTTATAAAAACTGTTGAAATAAATCTATTGAAGAGAAAACAAATAAATCTATTGAAGAGAAAACAAATAAATCTATTGAAGAGAAAACAAATAAATCTATTGAAGAGAAAACAAATAAATAAAACTGTTGAAAAGTAAAGATATAAAAAAAATGTCCACTGGCCGAAACGTCCTATATTCAGACCAGGTAATGGTGTTTATCAAATAATTTTGATCAAATTTGAATAAGCAAAAGGTCTAAATTTCACCTCTGATGTGAGTAGACGACAAGAAAGCCACAGATGTCTGTCGCTTTTGGATTATTTTCTGTGAAAGATTTTCATAATGAAAAAGGAATGTGTGTTTGTGTTATCTGTTGACTAACTGCTAACTAAGTTTTAAACAGTAACTGATGAAATGTCGATAATGGACGGTAATGATTGAATTGCATGAATGGAACCCGTGAATTTGTTTTCTGTTTTAAGTGTTCCGAAAAATCCAGTAAAGTTATGCTGTAGACCATAACAAATGTTTATTGCAAATCACTGTTGTAACCTTTACTTGACAAATCAGGATATGAATAATTTACAAAAGCAACGCACTCTTTCTGTAATACTTCATACTTGGTAAATTTATGAAAAAAGGAGCAGTTTCTACCTTTGTAGGACTTAACACAATTCTTGGTCACAGAATTAAAGATAATGCGGCATTAGCAAATGAAATATTATAATTCAGTCCCAGTTTAATTATACTAGACGAGAAAGGTTTGTTGTTATAGAATTTTTTTTTATAACTTAGGTAATGATTAGTACTGCCAGCATGTTAATTGAAGCGGTGTGCCATCAATCCACATCAGCTTGTGTATTTCAAAATTGGCTAAAGTGTTTATAATAAATACAGGCTTCAAGTACATACGACATTGTCTACGATATCGCCTTAGGTGGAAGTGGACGTAAAACACCAGAAACGAACGAACAAACGAACATACAACATTAATATGACCATTTATGTGCTCCATTGACCAAATATTTACATTCCAGTCCATAAGGTAAATCCATTGGGATGTGCAGTACACAGCATATCTTTTCTGATTAAGTTGCTGATTGTAATTTGATGGATTTTCAATCCCTTGCAATTTACAATATTATGAAAATTGAATCTCTAAAAGGAATATCAGTTCAAAAATGTTCTGTTTTCAAAGGTATGATGAACTGAAAATTTTATTACATGTAAAATCTTTTGACAGGCCTTTTTTTTAAAAATGTGACTGAATCCAACTGAGAGATTATCTACTGTTGATATTTTAGGCTCTCTAATGGTGAAACTTACATCTCTTAAACACATAGACTGTTTAATATATTTCACCTTTATAGAGCGCCCTACTCCTCTAATACACATAGACTCTTTATACATTACACCTTTATAGAGTACCTTACACATAGACTGTTTAATATATTTCACCTTTATAAGAGCGCCTTACACCTCTAATACACATAGACTCTTTATACATTACACCTTTATAGAGTACCTTACACATAGACTGTTTAGTATATTACTTGTAGAGTACCTTACATCTCTAATACACATGGACTAATATACATAGACTCTTTATACATTATACCTTTATAGAGTACCTTATAGAGTACCTGATCAAATTTGAATAAGCAAAAGGTCTAAATTTCACTTCTGATGTGAGTAGACTGTTTAATAGAGTACCTTACATCTGTAATACACATGAACTATTAATAATATATTAGACTGACTATGGGTGTACCTTACATCTCTAATACACATAGACTCTTTAATATATTACACCTTTGTAAAGTACCTTACACCTCTTATACACATCGACTATTTAATATATTAGACTCTATAATGGTGTATCTTACATCTCTAACACACATAGACTCTTTAACATATATAAGACTCTCTAATGGTGCATCTTATATCTCTAATACACATATACTCTTTAACATATATTAGACTCTCTAATGGTACATCTTATATCTCTAATACACATATACTCTAATATATTACACCTTTGTAAAGTATCATACACCACTTATGCACCTCTTATACACATAGACTATTTAATAAATTAGACTCAATAATGGTGTATTTTACATCTCTAACATACACATGGTTCAACAATTAGCTGTGGTAGGAAACCGGAGAACCTGGAGAAAACCTGCAAGGTTGAACAAGCTTTGTAGATTAACTTACACCTCTAATGCACATAGAATGTTTAATATATCACAACCTCTACAATACCTTACATCTCTAACACACATAGAGTCTTCTATATTCAAACCGACAATGAGATATATTAACATTCTTAACTGGGTGACATAAAAAAGAAATAAAACTGTTTGAATGACAATTGAAATGTCAAAAGTCCTATAATCCAGTTTTTTATACGCCCACATTTTCATGTGGACGTATATTGTTATCGTCCCAACAATTTGTTTGTGGACACTCTAGAGGTCACAATTCTTATCAGATTTTGACAAAATTTGAAATATAGGTTTATCTCCAATCGATCTCAGTTCCTTTCGATATTGGCATGTTTTTAGCTTGTGGACACTCTAAAGGTCACAGTTTTCATCTGATTTTGATGATGTCACAATTTTTATCTGAATTATTCTAATTTTGTGAAAATCGGACCAAAACAGCCAGACAAAATGGAGGCTCCTTGTAAGCAAATAGTGTAAATATATGGTGTATCAAGGTTGTGGACCCTCTAGAGGCCACAAGTTTGATCCAATTTTGATGAAACTTTAAACTTATGTTTATATCACAAAGATCTTGGTTCCTTTCTATATTCGCGCATATCCGAACGTAACTTGCTGGATTATGGCCCCTGATTGTTCGAAAAATCTCATTTTTAGCTTGTGAACATGCTAGAACTAGAAGTCACAATTTGTATTCAATTTTAAAAAACGTTTCAATATATCACCATTACACATCAATGAAAGTTGAGTTCGAATTTCGTAAAAATCTGACCCAAACTGCCAGACAAAATGGCCGATCCTTGTACGCAAATAGTGTAAAAGTATGTAATACCAAGATTGTGGACACTCTAGAAGTAGAAGTAACAGTTTTTATCCGATTTTGATGAAACTTGAAATGTATGATTATAATTCAAAATTCTTAGTTCCTTACGATATTTGCACATATCGGACCGTAACTTCATGGATTATGGCCCCTGATTGTACGAAAAATCATGTTTTTAGCTTGTGCGAAATCTAGAGGTCACGATTTTTATCCAATTTTGAAAATACGTTTACAGGTGTCTCTGTTACACCCTAACTGCCTGACAAAATGGCTGCTCCTTGTACGCAAATAGTGTAAAAGTATGTAATACAAAGGTTGTGGACCCTCTAGAAGTCACATTTTTTATCCGAATTTGATTAAACTTAAAATATATCTTTATATACCAAATATCTCAGTCCATTTCAATATTTGTGCATTTCAGTCTACAACTTTCTGAATTATGGTCCCTGATTGTACCCAAAATTGCTTTTTTTTGGCTTGTTCTCTTTCCATCTGTTGCAAAATGTGGGCGTATTATGCCACTTTAATTGATACTGTTCATGTTTATCTAAATTTTTATTTAACGGTCATATTTAATAAACAGATATTAGATTAAGTTTTTATCATAAAAATATTAAAAGCTATTTTGAGTAATAATTCTGAAATAGAAATATTAATCTGAATCAAGAGATTAAACAAGTTACAATATATTTCCAGTATCTGTTTAATGGAAGTCTGAGATGAAGAACTTCCCACGACATATGATAGTATGATTTATTGTGATAATCATAAACGTATATCTTTGAAGTAAATAATGGAACCCAAGTAAAATGTATAGTTTGTGTATGTGTAATTGGGAACATGTTTTCAATGTATTACAGATTGTGGGCTGATGTGTTTAAGGTACATGGGGATGGTGAATATATGAGATGGCAGCGTGTATCTGATGATGTGGTTCCTATCAACATATCCTGTATAGAAGATACACCTAGCACTGTATTTCAGATAACGGCCTATAATCGACAAGTGGAAAAAATATTTGATGTAAAAATCACTCAACCAGGTAATAATATCAATAAAACTACCTCCAATATATTATAACTATAAATTACTATAGTGTGCCTAGATGATACATAAAGAGATCACTCATTGGAAAATGAAATGAATTGGGATTAATGTCTCACAGTCTACTCATAAGCCCCATTTACACTTGGCTGCAATAAGCGTGACGTTCTCGGCACGGTACCAGGCCGTGATAAATTTCAAGAAATTGACCTGTTTACATTACTCTAAAATAACTGGTCTCCGAACAGTGCCAGGATTGCCAAATGTGGAACTTGTCACAGAAAAGTTGATGTCAGTCCCTGTGCAAATTAGACGGATGAAAGCAATTAAGGCAGTTGATTTAGTTTGGGCAGCCATTTTGACAGAACTGATGAAAGGTCAAGTTTCATTTGGCGCATGCGCAGTAATCTGTACTTGAAACCATTCTCAAACCGGATAGCGTTTACACTATGAAAAGTTACCTGTGCTTTGCCTGGCACCGTGCCGAGACCACCTCACTTCAGTGGGCCAAATTGGCATGGTACTCAGTACTTAAACATGGCACGCTTAAAATTTGTAATGTAAACAGGGTTGTATTTTCGATTTCTAACCGCGAGGGGATTGTTAAAATGCTGCAAGACATAACCAAGAAGACTGAAGTCGGGGGGTGGGGGGCAGGCCAATATTCAGAGAACCCTTTAAAGACATTATTTGTGTATGAAATAAATTTCATATCAACATAGATGAGGAGGGATAGAAGCTAGACCTTGTATGAAGATCTTATTTGATGCTACAGTTTGCAAAAGTTTGCCTTACAATTAACATGCACTTGTAAGGTTGTTCCTAAATTCTTCTTAATACTATTACATTTATGGCAAATAAATCCTTCTTTGATTGTAGATTTTGAAGTTAAATGATAATAACTTTATTTCACAAAAAATAGCTGAAATTACAGTCTGCTAGTAGACTACTTTGCTGGTGCCTGTCAAAATGTTCCGTGTGGTTTGCTGATGGCCACTACCCTCGTTCAATTGTAGATGATACTACTTAGGCCTCAGTTGTTCCTAGTCGATATTTAGGCCATTAATATTGTATTTTCCATATTATTTTTCATAGCCTAAGATTTACCTATTTGTGATTTTCTTACGTAAGTAATTATTTTGATGGAAGGGCTCCTGTTCAAAATAAAGTCAGGGGCCCTATGTAACCTCAATCTGGCTCTGATGTTAGTAGAACCTATTCTATTCTATGTGTGTACCGATATTTGATTGCTCTTTTCTAATCTGACATAATATGGTAATGAGAAGAATGTGGGTTGTAATTTATGACATATGCCGTAGTTATATTGGATGTGTTCTGTGGGATCCTACTAATCATAGACAAGAAACGACAACAGGTTTTTTTTTTTTTTTTATCAATTATCAATAACGCCCCAAGTATTGGATAAAGTGATTGACAAAGAAAGATATGTTATAGTATAGATATACATTCTACATATCATATCCAAAATTTAGATATTTTATAAAACAAATTGACAAATTTTGACCAAAGCGATGTAATACGGGCAAGGAGGAACTATAGTTTACACTGGACCAAGTATATAAACCCCATGATTAATTGTGATTTAATTGATTTAGCAGATAAAATTAATCCTTGCAATGATTAATCAGTCAACGTTTCAATACTCTTACAGGTATCTTTAGCTTTATAAAGATACCTGTAAGAGTATTGAAACATTGCATGTAATAAACCAAGAAGTAGTAAATCCAAAAAGTTGTGTTATCATGAATAACTGTCAATGTTTTTGAATAGTTTTGACAAAATTCACAAATAAAATATAGAAATGCATGTCTAGGTATTCTTTACAACCGATCTAAATTTCATGTTTCCCTTCCAGCCTCGCATGTGTTTCGTCACTCGTTAAATTGATAATTCCATGTCTCGAGGATGACTTTGCACCTGAATAAATGAACAGCAATGTGGTGGTGACATCGAAAATCGATTTGGGCTTTGTGGGGAGAATTCAACCATGGTTTTGCACCTACTATTTGGAGCTCAAAGATCAATGTTAATAAAATTGAATATTATGCCGCGCCCCTACCTGTCCATCGGTCGGTCCGTCCGACCGTCTGTCCATTCGTCCCCAATTTGTTTTTGGACACTGTACAGGTCACAGTTTTTATGTGATTTAGACAAATCTTGAAATATAGGTTTATCTCCAAAAGATCTCAGTTCCTTTCGATATTGGCATGTATCAGATCGAAACTTTATGGATTATCTCCCAAAGATCTCAGTTCCTTTCGATGGATTATGGCCCCTGATTGTACGAATAACCATGTTTTTAGCTTGTGGACACTCTAAGAGGTCACAATTTTCATCCGAGTTTGATGAAACTTGATATGCTTTGTTAAAACACAAAGATCTTGGTTCCTTTTGATATTAGCGCATATTGGATCATAACTTCCTGAATTATTGCCCCTGATTGTATGAAAAATCGCATTTTTAGCTCGTTACACCATAATGTCAGTTGGATTCGAATTTCAGGAAAATTGAAACAAAACTGCCCGACAAAATGGACGCTCTTTGTACGAAGGTTGTGGACCCTCTAGAGGTCACAATTTTTATCTGATTTTGATGAAACTTAAAATATATCTTTATATCCCAAAGATCTCAGTCCCTTTCAATATTTGCGCATTTCAGACCATAACTTTTTGCATTATGGCTCCTCATTGTACAAAAAATCGCTTTTGTTTTTAGCTTGTTCTCTATCCATCTCATGCAATATGTGGGCTTATCTTGTCTGGCAAACATGTGTTTTAAAATCATAATCAGGAATTTCTTAAAATGGTAATCAGGAATTTCTTAAAATGATCTACTGGTAACAATATATTCTGATGATGTAGGTGATGAGAATGGTTATGGCCTATTTTCATCATCAACTGCTCTTCATCATGTTCCCTGTCAGTTTCATCAAATATATTACCATCAGGTCATACAAATCTGAGTTTGGCACAACACAATTTATAAAGTTGATCTTGCCACTAGTACACTGTGACATAATATTGACAGAATAATCTATCCAATCTCCCAGTTGCCTCATCTGTGTTTCCAAGCAGATAACTATAGATTTCTGGTAGCTGGTCAGAAGTAATATACGTATAACCTTGTCCACATTAGTCCTGATGACCATCTTAAAAAAGATACCAGAAAGAACAAAAGAAATCATTTGTCACAATTTCATGGGGTTGTCATTGATTTATTAGTTGAGGAGGAAGCGTGCTAGATTTTTTTCTGTATTATTTACTAGGTAAATGGTGCCTTCACAAGACTATAGTATATCCGAAATCAATAGCAATCCGACTTTAAGGATGAATGTGTGTATTGGTCTAATTCTTTATGAAGCCGGGTCAATTAGAGTGTTTGTTGACCTCTGTCCACAATCTAAAATCATTCAAAGGCAGCTGGTTAAAACCAGTTGTGTAAAGTTGTGAGATTTCTCCAAATAAAAAAATGTGAAATATTGTAATTCTTCACATATTAAGAGTTTTAAATATCGAAACTATAAAAAATTCCTGATGAGATTTTGGTAATATTTTTTGTAGGTGTTCCAATTGTTGTTCATATATCCAGACTAATTTTACCGTCTGATCTCATTGATTGTGTGGTTAAAAACTTATGTCTGTGAATGTGACATGTAATACCACTTGGAAAGCTTAGCCATTGATTTTACTGTCTATTTTCATCTGTTTTTGTTAGGATGTAGATGTACATGTAGGTTGTTTTCTACCCTGGCCATCAACATGTAAATTATGCCACAAGTTCATGCACTAGAACCATAGTTTTCAACCTGGGGAGAATTCCTCCCCAGGAGGGAATTTGATCACTTCCATTTTTGGAATGAGCAATAAGTAGAAAAGTTATAGGGCATTTGCAAAATTGTGGTCATTCGCCATCCAGCATGTTCTTCAATACTGCATACCTAACCATGTAACACTCTAACTAATAAATAGAAGTCAAAGTATCAAGACTGGAAATGCAGAATGGTTCAAAAAAGGTTGAAACCCACGCAGACCTACATAATCCTAGATCCAGTGTTTAATTATACACGAAAACAACTTCCTTTCTTTTGATGTAACAGGCCACAACAGTTACAATTTTATCCCCAATTAAAGACAACAGTTACAATTTTATCCCCCATAATGACTGAAAATTGAAGTAAGAATATACAATTTAATTTTAGTTGACTTGCTAAATTATTTCATGGAAAAATATGGGTAACTTTTGTAACTCGTGGCACATAAATATCATGTTTTACAGTATTTGACAGATACAAATAAGAGAGTAAGAGACTGAATAAGAATTTGATAATGTTAATAATCTCTGGGCAGAAATCGGATGAGTGGTGTCCATTGGGATGCCTCTGGTTAGCTCAAGTGAAGTAGAGCTCTTGTCAAAGTCATTGATTAATTTCTCGGGATATCTATCCAATATCTTGCTCTTTTGTTTCCTGAGAGGCTTACTTTTTTCTTGTATTGGGTCAGGGTTTCTTTCATATCATGTTTGTCTAGACTTTTAAAATACTGGAGTTCAATGTTCATAGATACCCTATCATTTAAATATCCTTGAATATTGCCTTCGACTTTCTATATCCATTCTTTCGATCTCTCTTCTGCAATTCCTTGTGGATGCTCAAGAATCAAAGTTATCATCTGATTGACTTGAAATTTGTACGAATTATTTATGTTAGTGAAGCCTGTTGATTTCCAATAATTACCATCAGAGTTATTGCTCTTGATCTCTTTGAAAATTAATTGAATGTTTTGAAGTTATCATCCAACTGACTTGAAATCTATATGTATTTATGTTAGTGTGGAATTTGAGATGTGTCTGGTAATTACATAGTGGATTGTTGCCCTTGATGCTCTTTTTAGAATTTGTAAGTGCTCTAGAAAAGAATCACAGTGCAACAACCATTATTGACTGCTCAGCAGACTATGGAACTGAGTTTGTTTCATTGCCTGGCAAACTATGTTATTACCAGAGTTGCTCATGATTGGTTAGAAATTATGGACAGTACTGCAATCAGGTTGAAATATCTTGGACAATTAATTGCAATGGGTATCAATTAACATCTTTGTCCTTTTACTTAAACATACATTATGCAAGAGCAAAATCTGATTATTGCAAGTCTTAATTTCGGCTTTAGATGTTATAGAAATTATAAATTAGATATTTATTTAAACAACAAGCCCAAAATCAACTCCGTAGACCCACGGATGGTTCGGCTACAGCTCGGATTTAAATAGGATTTCACTTATCAATTAATTCAAATATGGCGCATCCTGATGAGAATACGTCAGTTAGATCGAGGCTAAATGATAGAGTGTACTTAGCGAGGCCGCTGTAGAGCGTTTTCGCATGCCATTGAAAACTTTACTTGATAATCGAGATATGTAGGTGGAGTTAATGCCTGTCAATCAAACGATCAGCCACGGTGAAGGCACATTTCACTACCATTTCTAGTCAAATATTACAACGATGATAACTATGTTCAGAATAAAGTAATTTGACTGAAATTTTCAAAATATTCTTCTTTCATCATCTACTTTTGAACTGTTATAGCAAGAATGGCCAATTCTCTGTAAAAATCTCCCATAATGTATCTTTAACAAACAAATTGAGTGAAATCAAATTATTTAACAGTCATTGTTCTTTGCCAAAGTAAGAGTTTGTCTCTAAAACTTGTGTAGTAGGCTTTTAATAGGGAGCTGAAGTAGGTGAGGAAGGAGCTGGCTTGCTAACCAGGAGTTTTCGAGGTTGATCCTGGTGTTGGCCAAGAAAGTTTTTCAGGAGTTTCCAGTGTGGTTTCTTTCTGGCGGTGGTGCAGGACGGAGGGTCTGGCAAGGAATAGTGTCAGTTGTTTGGATGAGATGAAAAACTGAGGTCTTGTGTACACAAGAACCCTTGACAGTTGGAATTTGAAATAAAAGTAGGCTGTCCGAGCAAAATTCCCACATAGAACACTGCAAGCCAGAGGGGCTAGTAAGGAATTGTGTGTAGTCATTCAGATGGGATGAAAATAATAATAGGCCCTCGCACTACTGTCCAAGCAAAATTTCCCACACAGAACACTCTGCATGGTGTATGCCCATCTCCATTTGCTCAGTCGGTGAAGAAAGTAGGATGTTTATTAAACACTATTTCATTTCATTTGATTTCAATAATATACTTCACAGAATTTTGTTTGTTTTTTGTAGGAACCATTATTTGTCCAGCTACTGAAAGTTTTGTTCATTGGCGTGATCCAGTCAATCAGTGTGAATGGGGCCTTAATTTCTCCACGGCTACAGATGCTCATCGCTTTCGAGACTGTTGTGCGGTAATAACATTTTTTTAACACTTCTTATTTGCTTTTGCTATGGTTTGGCATAAACATAAGTTGCTGATGAGTTAAAAATTCAATTATGCTAGACATGGAAGATTACTGAACATAGACATGGCTTTGTTCAATTATCTTTCTATCTTGGTTTCCTCTGAAAATGATTATAATAGTGAAATGTGTTGCCTAGGTGATATGAATAATTAATATGTAGAATAGTAATTAAAGAATATTGTCTTGGTTATGTTATTAGATATAAAAGAACGAGTGAGATTTTACTCTCAAATGAGAAGAATATTTGTGATAACAAAATGAACAGCCAATCAAAATTGAATTATGTCTTCCTGACAATTCTTAGTTCTGACTTGATTAGAAATGGTTGGCAAATAAAGTGTTGATTCATTAGACAAGTTTTCGCGTTCCATACTTTCCCTTCACCTGGGAAAAGAAGGCGTGAAATTAATTTCGCACAATCTGAATACTTTTTTTTAGGTTGATAATGAGTTTAAACAAATGTTTTTCTATAACAATGCTGAAAGATAATTTATTTGTGGGTTTTTTAGTGTGGAGGTCATTTAAATTTTCATGCCTGGCGGCTACTTTACTTTTTAATGTTTTGAAAAAAAAACATGATGTTTGAAATATACAGAAGTTGAAGCAGTAATCAAAACTTACGTAGAAAATTCATTAGAATTATTCTTGCTTCATCGAGTCTTTTGATTTGAAGATGGTGGGACCCCATTATCAATTTCACATGATGAACATACTTCCATTACAAGCATTAAGGTGATCAGAATGCTATAAATATGAAAGTTGCTTGTATTCAGCAAATATTAGTTGCGATGAGCAGGGTTGATATAGATGTGGGAAGACTAATGAAGTATATAATTCTCTGCTCAGGCATATGATATTCTTGTATTTCATCAGAATTCCCTCATGAGAGACATGACAACTGGTGACATTTCATTCCAAGTAGACATAATTCAGTCCCTCCGTAAAAAAAATATTGGAACACTTTATAAGTGAAAATAGATATTTTTTATTGGGTTCTTGATAACTGCATAAATTTCTTTATTTGAAGAAAATAAACTGGAGATTTGCCAATATGTTGAAATATATTGACATTTTATTTAAACTCAACTTATATGAGATTAAAATGGCAAAATTCTTGTTTATTTTGTTCTATACATAAATGTAGGAACTTAAGTTTCTTTTGAAGTTAGTTTAAGAATTGTTAAAAGAAGGGTCCCACAAAAAAAAGCACATTGTGAATTTTAACATTTGCTCAGATAAGGAAATTAAGTTTATATCAACTTATGATTGATGTCATTTCAAAACATATACTTAAAATGGTTTTACCTCTATCATTTGTATGCACCTATATATTATGTGTTACTATATTGCTGCCTTTCTTCCGTCCGTCCATCCATTTCACAATTCTTGTAAGTACTCTACAGGTTTGAGATTTTGAGATGTTTATTCTAATTAGTAGGGATTGTTTGGGTTGTTGTAAGGAAGAATCCTGTTGAAATGCATTTTTGAAATTCTTATTTTTGCATCAATATTAGATGGAGTTATTGCTCCTTTTACCAAAACCTTGTCGATTATTTTTACCAGATTTATTGCTCATTTGACTTATGTCACAATACTGGGAAAAACTTACATTCCCTCACACTGATCAGCAGTGAATTTTCGCTAGGCCGCTACAATCACTGATAAGGATGACATCAATGTGACTTAATGAGTCCCAAATATTAACTTTTTTCTTCCGACAAATTAAATTCTACAACATTTTTTTCATTTATTAGAAAAATAAATAAAGACGTTTGAATTGTTTGTAGGTAAAAATAATCTCCTATTTAGTGTAATGGGTATTAAAATAAGTAAAATTCACCATTTAGCCCGAATCAGTAATGTCTTTTGTAAACAATGATTGACGCCGCGTGATGTGACGTCACGTGTCGAAACAGTCATCTGTAACAGAGATATTAATTAAAAGATCTCTGTGTGACATTCCCTCTGTCCATAGGGGATACTTATTCGTTGTCTGCAACACTATGTTTTAGATTAAATTTTATCTGATTTGGAAGGTGCATACTACAGTTAAAGGTTTTAGTCTGCATATGCAGCCAGTGTTGAGAAATGAATGATTTTGTCTTCAGCAGTCAATGTTTTATTAAAAGTGAAGCCAAAAGACATAAACAGACAGGGCCCTGTTTCACAAAAACTTAAATCTTCTTGAAATTTCATGCTAACTTAAGATAGATGAGTTTCACAAAACTATTTTAAGCATTTTAGTTAAAATCCACTAAAATAATATTTTAAGTTCAAATTTTATCTTAACTTAAAATAGTGGCGTTTCTCAAAAATATTTTAGGGACAGTTTTAACTAAAATCAATTTTAACTTAGGACAGCCGTCACCCTCTCCTAACTTAAAATCACGACATTAACAAACATTGATAAGGGCTACGTTGTTAGATCTATTGCGACATATAGATATATTTGGAATAATGATAATATTGCCAATGGCCCGGGTCAAATAATTTTAACATACCATCATTCACAAAAACAATTCTCATTCATTTTCTTTTCATAGCATGGGAAATAACAGATATGGTCCACTGGTTTATTTTATTGTAAGGCAATTTAAGCATTTAGATGACGCCCCAAATTAGAATCCCAAGAAAGAAAAAACACTCAAAATCCTAGTAAACAAAGCCCCTTTTTTACTGTTTTATATATTACCATATCATTCAAGTATAAATTATACTATTTTCAAATAATTAAGAGACAAAAAAAAATCAAAAAAAAATCACTTCATATCTAATGTCATGGAAAGAAGAGCACTCTTATCTATAAAGAAAATATCTTCATGTAGGTCTACAATGGTTTAAAATGGCCAATTTCTTGGTATTAGAAGGCCTAATGGCCTGTAATACTAGACATGCCATAAGCATAGTATTTACTCATATGTTTTTGGGGTTATGATGATTTGTAAAAAGATAAATCAATAATCTCAAATGTGTTTAGTGAAAAATGTTATAGATCTATTTGAAATTAAATTTTTATATCATAAATTTATTATTATTTCTTAATGAAGGCTTATGTTACAAAAACAACATAAATAAAATAAATTTTAGGGGCCAAAGCTATTTCATCTGGGGATTTCATTTGGTCGATGCTTTGGGACAATATAACTTTGATTCTAACTGATGGAGAATGACGAAACTGATGAAACTTAGTGTATAGTTTCACTCACTACCAGGTACTTCAAAGCCTGAGTTTTATAGTGAACATTTTATGCTTAGACTAAGCATAGATAATCAGTTTGATTCCTTTATACTTTTGAAAAAGATAAATGTGCAATTAATTAATATGTGTCATCTTTTTTTTTTGATTTTGGCGGGGGACATCAGCCTCACTGTTGGCTTGTTATTATACATACTAAACTAGATTTGTTTTGAATAATATCTGAATTGTAGGTGTTGTTTCAACATATAAATGTGTTCAATTTTTTATTATCAAATATTAAAACATTTGATTATATTGGTGCTGTTCGTGTCATACACAAAGCAAAGATCATTTATCCAATTTTGTTAAATTCTCCTGTTTTCTTGCTAGGCCTAACTAATCATGTTGCCAAATTTTCCTGTTTGCTGTTGGGTAATAATAATAAAAAAAGATATTCTCTTCAGCTGTTGTGGCATCAGTTTTTGGCATGATTGAATGTTTATTTTGACAGTTGAACCTAAAGGTTGTTTTTTTTTCATAAGAATGTTATGTAAATGTGATGAAACATCAAAATACAAGTTTGATAACAAAAAGAAATTGCGAAGTTTTATATTATAGCACAATTATTTCAACTGTACAGTTTATTTTTGTTTGTATCTTATTTTAAACACATAGGAACTTGAAAAAACTGTTTTATACTTAAAGAGTATGGCACATAGCAGATATCTATACTTTCATCGGCAACCAGAAACAATTAGTACATATAAAGGCCTTTTTTTGTCCCCCACGCTTTTCAAAGACTATGGAGTTTAAAGATGAGCATTTTCTGCTTATAGGCTAAACAATTTGTTTGGTCTATGATTCATGACACAATAACTTGGAGTCTAATTGAGTGAGAGTGGTGAAACCTGGTGTACAGTTTCATTACATCACTACCTTGACTAAGTTCGATCATGAGCAATTTCTGCTTAGGTTAAGCAGAATGACGAGCAGTTTGGTTGGTTGAGACTTTGGAGCACTATAAATTTGATTGTAATTGAGTGAGAGTGATGAAACTTTGTGTATAGTTTTACTGTACTAAAACCATGGCTAAGTCCATTCATGACCATAGGCTAAGTTTTGATTGCATGATGCTTTACAAAAAAAGAAATGTGCAATTAATTAATATGTCATCTATTTATTTTGGGACATCATCCTCTTTAAAGAATACTGACTCTTTTACCATTTTATCACATTTTGGAAAAGCCATAGCTCTTCCTTAAACAACAATAGTCTACATCGATATTGTTCTGACATTCTCAAAATTAAAGGGAGACAACTGTTCTATTACACTGTGTCATGGTCTTCATATTAAAGGTATTCGTATTAAAAAAAACCTGACACAGTTACATGGGACGACAATCATTGGTTTATTATACACAAGCGTGCACGACTTTTCGTTAAGTATCCTCTTATCGTTATCAAGCACAATGACATTTAATGCACAGGCTGATATTTTGAAACAGTTCTTAAAATTGTCTGATTTCAACATTTAAAAAAAACCCCGAACACTTGCATGCAAAAATTTCTTGGTTATGTTAGCGTAACTGAAGATATCTGCTAATTCTTACATTGTGCCAAAAGTATAAAGGTATAACTTCAAGTGCCTAAGTGTCTATGTTGTTAAGCTTTTAAGTATGATTGAATGATCATTTATTTGATCTTTTCTTGTTCTTGGAACAGTTTCCCACTCAAAGATTTGCACGGAAAGCATCATCTACAAGTTCCCTTCGACTTTCGCCACCTAAGGTTAGATCTCATAGTCACAAACTGTCTGCTTCAGGTCATTTTTAGTTGGATAGGTCTTTATTTTATTTACAAGTATATGTATTTTTCGTTACTAATTAGGAATGCGTAGTCATTATTTTAACTTATGTCAGTTTTGTTATAATTTTTTTTTTATTTGATATTTTTTTTATTTATTTGATAATTTTTTATTGATATTATACTTTCTTTTAGTTTTATTTGTTTTTGATAATATGGATTAACAGATTATTGGTAACCAGCTTAATTCTCATGTAATGGGATTGAGATTATAGCATGTTGTTTGCTGTGTGTGTTTTTATTAACTTGTTGAGTGAATTTGTTATGTATTTGCCTTAATCTAATCTTTTCAGTTTATTTTAAGCATATTATCTAAATATTTGACAACATTTTTTCCCTAGTACAGTCTATTTATATGTATGTCACAGTATTTTTATACACCCACATTTTCATGTTGGTGTATATTGTCATTGCCCCTGTCCGTCCATTCACATTTGTTTGTGGACACTCTGCAGGTCACAATTTTTATTCAATTTTGACGAACCTTAAAATAAAGGTTTATATTGCAAAGATCTCGGTTCCTCTCAATATTGGCATGTATCTGATTTTAAAAATGGTTCAAATGTATCACTGTTAGTGTTACACCTTGAAAAGGTGTAAAAGTATTTAATACCATGGTTGTGGAACCTCTAGAGTTTACAATTTTTATCCAATTTAAAATATATATTTATATCCCAAAGATCTAGGTTTCATTCAACATTTGTGAATATCCGAATTAAAAAAAAAAGTTAAAATGTATCACCGTTACACCATAATGACGATTGAGTTGGAATTTTGTGAAAATTGGAGCAAAACTTCCTGCTCATTGTACGCAAATAGTGTAAAAGCATGTAGTACCAAGGTTGTGCATCGTCTAGAGGTCACAATTTTTATCCGATTTCCATGAAACTAAAAATGTATGTTACTTTATAACCAAAAGATTTCGGTTCCTTTCGATATTGGTGCATATCGGACTGTAATTTCCTGGATTATGCCCCCTGATTGTACGAAAATTCGCATTTTTAGCTTGTTGACCCTCTAGAGGTCACAATTTCTATCTGATTTTGATGAAACTTAATATGTATGTTTATTCCTTTTGATCTTGACGCTTGTCGGACTGTAACATCTGGATTGTTTAGTAATTTGCTCAATATACATGATATCAATTTTTTGATGAATTACAAATAGTATATAAAGATATCTTTACCGCAATAAGACAAAAAAGAGTATTTAAATCCCTTTATGAAACAATGTGAATATTGGGTGTTATTATAGTGTCCTTGCATACAGTTTGAATCATTACTGAATTATTTTAATACACCTACTTTTTCATGTGGACGTATTTTGGTCGTCGCCCCTGTCCGTTCGTCGACAATTTGTTTGTGAACACTCTGCAGGTCACAATTTTTATTCGATTTTGACAAAACTTGAAATATAGGTTAATCTCCCAAAGATCTCAGTTCCTGTTGTTGGTAATGGCATATATCGAACCGTAACTTCATGGATTATGGCCCCCGATTGTACGAAAAATCACATTTTTAGCTTGTGGACAATATTTATCTGATTTTGATGCCACTTAAAATATATATCCCAAAGATCTTCTGTCCATCTCTTGCAAAATGTGGGCGTATCTTGCATGGCAACCACTTGTTTATATATACAGTAAACTTCGCATAAGTGGACTGACCAATTTTATCCGAGTTAAGCGAAGATCCGAGTTAGCCAAAGACCGAAATTCAATCTTAGCTCGATTAAAAATAAACTGCAAGAGCCGGATAATAATTGATTCAAAGACACATTTCAAGCCTTCGTTCGTATGTGCTAGTAGATAACTTCCATTTTGGTGCGATTTGATAACTTCCATTTTGTCTCCATCTTTGAAAAATGTCTAAATTTTCCCGGAAAGTGTCTCGTACAGCAGACAGCAAGTTTCGAATTTTCCGTGAAAATTCTATTATTGCGTCGCATCAAATAGGCTGATTTGAGTCAAAATGATAGAGAGAAAGTATTTTGGGGCTCTGTGCATGGAATACCTAACCACGTTTTAGACGAAACTGACAATCAAATTCTGAACATACTGCCGATCCAACTTAGGAAAAGGAAAAAAGCTGGAATTAGGTCAAATGGAACAAACATTTTGATCCGGGTTGAGCAAAGATTTGACTTAGGAAATCCGACTTATGCGCAGAAATTTAATAAAAAAAACTTGCAGCATCAAAGGGTCCAAACGATTTTATCCGAGTTGAGCGAAGATCCGATTTATACGAATCCGACTTATGTGAGGTTTACTGTATTTGGTTCTAGGCTGCATTAATATTTATATCTATATCTATATGATATATGTGAAAGCAGATACTTCAATGTGAATGCAGCCAACGAATAATGCAAACATGAATTTTAATATCAGGTTGCTGATGTCAATAGTAAAGTCAAATTTGATTTTCAAAAAATAATAATTTAAAAGTTTGATATAATATGAAAGACAAAGTACTGTTGTGTTTTGAAGGAATAACATTTGTTGATGTCATGGATTTATTTGATAATTCATCTATTATTGTATTTTCATTCTTTAGAGAGTTAAAAGTAAAGGGGCTTCTGCATCATCTCCAAGTTCACCATTAAATCAACAGCGACCATTTTCTGCAGATCAGCACAGTGAAACTTGTGATCATCTAGATCATGTGGCTCCAAGTTGTAATGCACTGGACAGAAATATTCCGGAATTTTCTAGTTTCCTTCCAGACGACAACTGTGATCGTGGTGGTTTCCGCTATTCTGCTATAATCAAGCCACCATCAGATGCTTCTATCTATGACAATGAAAATGGGACTGTGTTCACCAAAAGCACAAAAGAGGCTGATAATAGGAAGTCCATGCCATCTTGTCCTACCACCTATCCTTCACCTGCTCGTTCTTTACAAGGACGACCAGCTTCAGCAGTATCAGCCATGACATTTGCTAAAGAAGGAACAGGGAGTTTAGGGGATTTAAATGGAAAAATTTATGTAACTACAGGTGAAGCACGCTTTCCGGTGGAAAAGGACCAGAGACTTAAAGATAATGTACATATTGAGACCGCATTTGTTGGAGGAAATCAGTTATCTCCCCACAATTCACGTCCAGTCTCCCGATTAACTGTTGACACTAATATATCTGTTAGTGGTGGATCAAGACACACCTCATCATCCGAATCTCCTGAATGGCCTTCACCTCCCGAACCTTTGACACCTATAACCCCCTTAAATCCTGAGTATGACATACAATTTGACAGTATCACCATACAAAAAATGTTGCGTTCCTTGCCATCTTCTCCTGTTGAAAAAGATCGAGATATGGGATTTCACGACGAATCAGTTGATAGTGTTGGTTACAACGGATCCCGAAGAAGAAGTAGTGGATTGTCAAGAACTCGTAGCCTTAATGTCCATGATAGAAACAATAAACCAGCTGTACCTGTCAGACATCGAACCACACAAATAACCCTTCCCGAAACCTCTCCTTATGTTTCTACGCAAGCGTTACAAGCTATACATGCTCCAAAATCGAAACTATTAACTAAAGTGTTAGTAGAACAGGAACTACTTTTACGTAATCAGTGTGCTCAACATAGTTATCCTGATAGTGGTATTGGTGGTATGACCTGTGATACATCTGGATCTCTGTTATCTGAAGACAGTAATAAATCAGAAGTCTCGAAAACCGGTAAGTACTATATTGATACAGGGTCACTTTCAAGTTTTAGGTTGAGAAAAATTGAACTAGATGTTTACTTGGCATACACTTCATGCTGAGTCATTAGAGAGCTAATTCAACAAATATAGGTTATACATGCACACTCAGATCTTCAACACTTTTTTTCAAATTGAGTTACTAGGGGGATCACTTTTTGTTTTAACTATGATAAGCATTAACCCACACATAAAACCCAAAACTCAGATATTTGTTTGCGTCTGTTCCATTACCTTTCAAAAGATGTGTAGTGTTGTAGGTTGGTGCAATGTGAATATCTGTATTAGAATTGAAATAAAATAATAGAGTATTTGGACCTTTGGAGGGGCTTTGAAAGAGTTAAATGTAGTGAAAAAATGAAGAAATTGAGTTCAAAAATGAATAATTGTGCATAAGCAATCAAGTATTTCTTTAAATTAGACTGTTTATATGGCGGGATTTAAGGGCCAAAACTAAATGTATGTTGAAAGTGTTATTATACATCATAGAAAATACCTAATACCTAAGATGCAAAATACATATGTCGTTATACTTATAATGATAAATACATAATACCGTTAAAGTAAAAGTCAAATGTCAAATTACAAATGTTTTTTGGAAAAAATCAACTAATGTGCACAACCTTTTCACATATACACTTCAACAAAGCAACTTTGCAAAATGACATTTGTCTTTTGTCTTTTGCATCTTGAATTCTTGAGGTCAACGGTCAAAGGACATCGGGTTACATGTCAAATTGTTAAAATGAATGCTCCCAAGAAGGAAAGATAAGCTTGTCGTCGTTGTCTGCTAAAAGCAGCTTAGTGACATTCTGACACTATGTTGTATGGATTTTGACTTTACGGCTTTACTTGTTATTATCAATTAATGGAATCTTGCATCAAATACTGTATATGGGAGATAACTTGTCTAGTTTTAGTATTCAGCAGGACTGAGACAAGTAATTCTCTCTCCATTCATGTTAGGACTAGGTCAATAACATTTTCTTTAACATTCTGATGATCTTAATCTTTCTAACAACAAAGAGCGCAACATGTCACAATTATCTGATATAAGGGTTATCTTCTTAATTTTTTTCCACAAGAAGTCTTGTTGGCTGTGATGTCATTTTGTAAATGATTTTCCAATTACTGTACATACTTCAGTCTCAAAATCATGATGATTTATCAAAACATGGTAAAATATTGAATTCAAACACTGTTCTTCATTGCCATGTGAATTGGAGCTATCAATAATGAACTATGTTCATTGTTGTCCAAATAATAGGTAAAATAATTACCACTCTTCTTAGTCCATCAGGAGTCAGGCCAACAATTACTTCATCTATCAAGTCTTCTACCCATGAATGTAGTTCCTTCTATTTATATTTTTTCTCAGGCTATCTATTTTCTTCCTGCCCAATTGGCTGTTTTTGTAGACTTTTTGGTCTAGAATCAAATTGGAGTATTTGAATTAACATTTTATGGCATGTCTTAGTGAATATTTGTGCTTTAGAGGGGTGTAAGGATAACCAATAAGAAGTTAGTTACGGTGATATGTATGGCGGATCATTATATGTTTTTTAGAATCCTACTTCTACTTCATAATTGTGTATCTCGAGATACCACTTCTAATTATTTATGATAATTACTTCATGGGTTGTCCTGTAAATGCTCTAAGAAGTTAGTTACGGTGATATGTATGGCGAATCGTTATATGTTTTTTAGAATCCTACTTCTACTTCATAATTGTGTATCTCGAGATACCCCTTCTAATTATTTATGATAATTACTTCATGGGTTGTCCTGTAAATGCTCTAACTACCCACAAAAGAATAAATATGCCACAACCTTTGTGGATATTTTGTTACCTGATAAACTTCCAACATGCATTTATGATGTCTTGATCTAGTGGTGAATATTGTTTGTGCATCCAAATGAAATGGGGTTCAACATCCTACTGTTCTACTTGGACTGGGCTAATGAAGATGGGCATATGCCATACAATGTGCTATGAAGGAAATTTTGCCAGGGCAGCGACTGTACAGCCAACTTTTGTATCAAATTCCAACTGCCAAGGATCATTAAGGTGCATGCCAATATGTACACAGGAATGGTTTTTCGTCTCATCCAAACAACGAGACGTTGTCCCTTACCAGGCCCTCTGTCCTGCACCAATGTCGAGGGGGAACCACACCGTAAACCATCAGACAGGAATCGAAAATAGGACATCCGGGCTAGCGAGCCTAACGTCTTATTTACTGAGCCACTGTGGCACCCTATTTGCATCCATCCAGCAATGTTGTAAATTAGATGATTGAGTCATTGAGACAACCAACCATATTTTTAATCAGACTTATGACTTATAATGCTTGCAGTGAGTATTGAGCATGATGCAGAGAAGATTTTTGGTAGAATTTTTCTGATGCAATGAATGACATCTGAGCAAATGTTTATAATAATTGTGAACAATTTCACCATTTTCTGAAAAGACTCTTCATGGAACAGGTTGCATGATTTAGATCCTCAAAGCAATATTGGAGTAGTCTGTAGATATTGATTTAAACATTGTAGCCTTGCAACACAATTTTTATTTTAAAGACAGACTAGAAATGTTCTCCCTATCTTGTCAAGATAAATTGTTACATCAAACCCTAATATGGCAAGTCTAATAAATATGGTTGACCCATCTCAGACATTAGACATTGCTCTATTATTGTCTGGGGAGCTAACAGAATTAATCTAAGTTTCAGTTATTTCTATCTTGTATGAGAAAGAGATGTCTGGTTGTACAATATTAAACATTTACCTAAAAACAAATGTAAATCTCGGAAGCTAGTACCTTTAAACATTCAACTGTGTGAATACTTGTCAAATGATGTGCAATTTCCCTACATTTTGTCAAAATCGATTCACATATGCATTGCCATATCACTAGCCCAAACATATCTTAAGGAATATTGAAAATTTTAAAATATGCTCTCAAGGTGTTAATGTTATTTTAATAGACATTGCTCTGCTTTTTCTAACCAATATATGTAATGAATTGGGAGTAATATTTTTTTAGACAGAAAAAGTTAATAATAACGATAATTGACTTCTGTAATTTAATTTAGAGTCCCAATGTCTGTATAAAAGTTATATATAGGTTTAGAACTCTACAAACTATACTAGTACTGTATTTAAATAGAAATCTCCTCCAAAAATGAATCAGATCTGCAAATACATACAATTGCTATATTTAAAGTATGATATGATTTGGATGTGTCTACCATATGTCCCTCGAGGAACAGTGATGTGTATGATATTGTAGAATACAGTGAAGATAATGATGATCATTCATGCATGATAGGAAGAGTTACTACTAGTTATGGAGATAGCATGTGACTTGAAATTATTTATTACCTCCTTGACAGTTATGATTCAAATCAAATGTTAAAAATGGACTTGATGAAATATTTTACTTGTATGGGTAAGCTTAATTCCCTTAGTAGAAACTTTTATCACACTCACATACGGTAATAAGAGATATTTAAAGGATGTTATGTGTTTCTTAAAGATATGAATATGACAAAAAGTCACACACTTTAATACAAAAAACAATTGACTACAAAAAACAATTTTGACTACTACCTGACAGCTATAGACAATGCAATTGATTAACTTAGTAATATATTCCTAATATATCTTGGTGTAACAATAGTTGCCAAACATGCCTATTATAGTTCAGTTGTTCAATTTGAGGAATATGTTTATAATAAGATTGGATTAACTGGTAGTTGGATTAAACATTTGTATAAAGTAGGCCTAAATGAAGATTGGATTAATTGATAGATTAAATTATTGAAATGTATAAAGTAAATAAAAGAAATTGGGTATCCATATAAAACTCTTAACTGCTGGTAGTTTGCTAAGTGAATGTTATTAACAGGTGGAACAGTCTTTGATCTTGGTTGATGCATGTCTAATGGTTTAAACAAACTAGATTATATAAGTTTGTTTGTTTTAAAATTCTGTGTGTGGATAAGGATCATTAGGTGTGTGTCTTATAAGCTTATAACAAAATTGTGATAATTTTCATAGAAGTGTTAACGAAATCTTCAACTATTAATTAAAGATACTTTCCCACAAAAGTATTTATTGGGTGGTTATTTCCAATAAAAGTATGGCAATTTAGGTATATATGGAAAGTAGAAACATCCAATCTTATTAGAAAAATAATGGATTCCCGGAAAAACACCCATGAAGCCCATACAGGGCAAAAATGTAAGGGTTCCCCAAACGGCAACCTGCCGATTACGGATGTCTGTTCGAGTGACGTCAAATCCCTCAACATTAGGGACTGCTTGATGTATATGTTGATAAACTTGGTGTACAGACTAGGAAAAAGTGAGAGACTAAAACATACAACAGTTTCTGAGATAAAGGTCACGGAAAAAGATGTGGACAGGGGTGGATAATCCGAGAATTTAATTAGGCTTCGAGATTTATGATAAATGGACAGCGATTTAAGACAACATTGTCTTGTATATGCAAAAAATTCTCCTCCAGCTTTGCACTCATTGCTAGGTACCACATTATTAGCCAAGTCATATGACACAAACATGACTTATTTTATAGCTTTGGGTGTTTCCTAACAAATACAATGTTTTGAGAAGGAATTGAAGCAAAATTTTGATAAATTAATTAGTTTGTTATTTTTAGTCCAAATATATCATCAGATCATCGAGTTTGTATTCGGGAAGGTATGTTTAAGATGTCCATGAAATCTTTTACCCTGTAATTAAATTATAAATCAATTCAGAGTTGATCTACCTTTTATACAGTACACCCACATTTAATGTGGTCATATATTGTTGTTACCTCATTTCGGGTTCCTGCGGTCTGTCCACAATTTCATGTGATGATTCTATACATTGTAGTTAACAGATTTTTGTTCAAATTCGCAGAGCTTCATTGTCAAGTCATAATAAGGAATATCCCTATTGAAATTCA